AGGTTCTTTTGCCATGTTCTGTCTAGGTTCTCCAGTGAAGTTCCGTAGAGCAGGTTCTGTCCAGGATTTTTTGCCATGTTCTCTGGCCCTGATGGACCCTTTGATGCAGCCCTTCAACTCGCTGACACTTCGGGAAGCCCGTCGCCAGTGATGCCGCCCGCTAGCCAGACCAACAAAGACAATCAAACCAACAACTTGAGGACAGCTGAAATCTCTTGACTGAAGAGGCCGGCAACCTCCTAAGGAACGGGGCTCCTTGTTCGCTTCATCCACTATGTTTATAGCTATGCTTACTGTCATTGCTTGCCAGTCTTCTTCTGAGTCTTAAACAGCCCAATCTGAGAGGTGGCCACTGATTTGCATGCGCTATCATTTAAAAAATAAAAAAGGGGGAATTTCCCGGAAGCCGGTCCATCCTTGCTGCTTGACACAGTCGCTGCAGGAAAGAAACATCTGCACAGCATATGTTTCAAGGGACCTGGCATATATAGCATATTGTTCTTAATATGTTTGCTCTCCTTAGTGCCATGTGTTTTAACCAAGGTCACCTCTCTGAGAAAGGTTGTTTCCCCAGGTGGGGATTTTTCCCTGAGGTTAGGGAGGGGATACAACCCCTTAATTAAGTGCCAGGTGGGTAGTTAAGCTACATAATCTTTACTCCCTGGAATGGAGATAAGAAACGCCCTAACCTTTGTAATAGAAATTGACAGGATTAAAATTGGCTGGTATAAATACGGATGTAACAAGACAATAAACATCAGATCCTCATCAGTTCCTAACCAGAACTCCGACCAGAACTTTGGCTGGAGATCCTGGCTAGAGGTCCTGACTAGGCTGCTGATCAACTGAAGGCTGTCTTCGTGTCATTCCTTCTTCGCCGACTCCGTCCACACCTTTGGGGACCCTTGGACCCGCTGGGATTGGACCCCAGCAGGGCGGGAGGGTTCCCTCAGGAGGTTAACTTGCCAACTATTGCATAGAAAAGCGAAACTGTCTAGTGAGGGGCTGGGGATGGGTGCTCAGGGAAATCACCTGCCATTTAAAGAGATTGAATGCTGTAATTGACGTTCAGAGGATAACTTGCCATCGCCCTGTGCAGGACACCAGTGCACAAAGAAACTGTAGTTACGATAAATATTTTTAGAAATTGTAGTAAAAGATGCATAACATAAAATTGACCATCTTAATCATTTTATTTTGGTTAATACATTAACACATTTCGGCCAGATCACGAGAATTCTCGTTTGCTAAGGCTGTGGCCTTAGAAAACTTTTAAAAGATATTAGTTTGTAAGAATATGTAATAACTAACTTCAAAATGCAATGGGTATTTAATTTTAAAGCGTGCCTTTAACATTTATGTAAAATGGTTTTTGTACTCGTTCAATAGAAACTTATCTGGCCACTGGGTAAAGCTACATAAAACTACTGGTCCGCAATTTAACATTGTTGTACAACCAATATTTGGAACTCCTTTCATCTTGCGAAACTGAAACTCTACACCTATTAACAACAAATCCCCATTCTTCCCTGCCCCAGCCCCTGGCACCCACCACTCTCCTTTCTGTTTCTCTGCCATTGCTGTATTATCATTATTATCTTAAAATGGAACAAACACGTAGACATTGCTGGGCATATTCCAGGCACGGCTCCAGCCTCTCGTCAAATTTAACTCAGTCTTCGTCACAGCCCTATGGAGTGGGGCTGTCAGTGCCCTCAATCAGGGAGGGGGCACCAAGACGAAAGTGGTTAAGAAACTTGTCCGAATTCACTGAGCTCTTGGCAGCCCTTCTCTGGCTGTTACTTTTGTCTCCTAGTTTAGCAGAAGGCATTTCTGTTTTCTTTTTCATTCTCATTTCCCCCATGATTTCTAGGAAAAAGGGAAAGAGATATTGACTTACATAGTTGCCTGGAGGTAAAGGCTACATCTTAAATGTTTAAAGTGTGTTAAAGTGAGCTCTAAGATCAAATGTGAAACCTGGTATCTGCATCTGCTATGTGGGATGGACCGGATCTTTCACTTTTTCTTATTATACATTTTCTTGTTGTGCATAATGTTGCTACTCATTGTGTTTATCTCAAAAATGTATCATTTGAACACAGTCCATCTATGATCAATTTCTCAAATTCTAAAATAACATTTGATAGGTTGGTATAAAATTCTGGTGTTTTAAGAGAGAATATAATTTGTAAACCTTAAAAAATAATGATCATCTGTTTTTTCTCTATTACACCAGTTATTTCCTAGAAACCATGGTTTCACTTCTAATTATTGAATGAGAGTGATGAAGTGTACCAGCCTTCTAAATGTTTAACTTTGTCACTTCACAGGATTTTTTCTAAGATGGCTAAAGCTGGGTGTGTGTTGCTAGGTGCATCACAAACATTAACTCGTTTAATCTTCGCAACAGCCATGTGAGGTGAATCATTTTATTATCCCAATTTTTCAGAAGAGAACTTGAGTTATTTTCTTTTTCTTTTCTTTTTTTTAATTTCAGAACATCCAGGGTGGTCACTTTAGGTGTCTGAGTTTGCAAGGCCAGGCCAGGCCTCCACATGGGCCTCCCCGGAGTGGGTCAGGTTAGCATGTGGGCCCCCCCCCTTTTTTAAAAAAAATTTCTTTATTGATTTCAGAGAGGAAGGGAGGAGAGAGAGATAGAAACATCAATGATGAGAGAGAATCATTGATTGGCTGCCTCCTGCACCCCGCCCCCCCCGCACTGGGGATCAAGTCTGCAACCCAGGCATGTGCCCTTGGCCAGAATCGAACCTGGGACCCTTCAATCTGCAGGCTGACACTCTATCCACTGAGCCAAGCCGGGCAGGGCTTGAGTTATTTTCTGAGGTTACACAGCTGGTAAGAGGCAGAGCTCGAGGTCTGAGCCCAGGCACACGAAAACTAGGCTGCCTTGTACTCTGCAGACATAGTATAGACAAGATGGGAAATACAGGGAGGGAAGGAAAAGAAATATTGTTGCCACCAAAGATTTTCCTTCCAATCTTCTCATTGCTTATACTCTTTTAAACAATTAAAGCATAAATGTCATATCATGTATCCACTTGAATATTGCATTTTCTACTTAATATTATAGTATTTTTACATGTTCCTAGAAAACTTTTGTGACATTTAAAAATATACTTCATGAATGCTGCGGTATAGTATAATTTTATTAATAATTTCTTGTCGGACATTTGAGTACTTTCTAATTGTTTTGCTATTAGAGATGATAACAACACTTATCTTTTTGTGTGTGGTGTATTTCCTCCTGTATTTTAGATCTTGGGGGATTGATTTCTAGTAGTGAAAATACTGGATCAATATATATTTGTATATTTTGGGGTAATCTCTCACATTGAATTGCTTTCCAAAAAATGTTTTAAGACAAGTTAACTCACATCAAAAGTGTATGGGGGCCCTAACCGGTTTGGCTCAGTGGATGGAGCGTCGGCCTGCGGACTGAGGGGTCCCGGGTTCAATTCTGGTCAGGGGCATGTACCTTGGTTGCGGGCACATCCCCAGTAGGAGGTGTGCAGGAGGCAGCTGATTGATGTTTCTCTCTCATAGATGTTTCTAACTCTCTATCCCTCTCCCTTCCTCTCTGTAAAAAATCAATAAAATATATTTTTTAAAAAGTGTATGGGAAAGAC